AAAAAAAAAAAAAAAAAAAACACAATAAAAACATATATATTTTTTAAAGTAGATGTTATTCTCAAAAAAAAAAAAAGGACATCCCTAGGGTAGGTGGGTACCCTGCCTGGTTGAGTTCTAAACAGGATACATACCATTTATCTCATTCTCTCCTCTGGGGATTTGTGTGTCCAGGAAGCACATCATTAGTGATCTGAATAGACAACTCCTTCCCTATAACTTTTTTTCCTTTTTACTGGTTCCTGGCTACCTTCCCTCACTCCTGTTTTCTCTCCTAATTTTGGCCTCCAGTCCTGCTCTCCCAGTTCTCAGTATTCCTCAGCCACTTCTCGAGAGCCCCTCTCCTTTTTCCTCTTTCAGACCTTATTCTTTATCCACCTTACCAAGTGTACACTCAGGAGAGAAGCTGCTGAAAAAGCCGAAGATCCACAATGAGACCACAACTCAAGTACCACTGCCTCATGCAACGATCAGGATCAACTCTGCTCACAAAAGCTGTGCTGAGGAAGCCCAAGGTTCGGCTTCACTTCTCTTTTTCATGCTCCTCCTCTCAGTCTCTTTCAGTCTCTTCTTCCCCTCTTCTTCCTCCTCTCCCTCTTCCTCTTTTCTGCCTCCTCCTGCTTCTGCATCTGGTATGTCCCTTGGTGTCTCTGACCAGTTACCAACCCTTTGGTCCAGAGCTTTATTTCTTATTTAGTTAACTCTCTTCTCCTTTCTACCCAAACTAAACCTGCCTCTTCCTAGCTCTCCACACTCAAGGATATAATCACTGGCAACTACGTAATTTTGGGGGTCCAGTACAAAATTTAAATGTGGGGCTTCATACTTAAAAAGCAGGAAATGTGCTTTTAAAGGTGCTAAAATGTAAAACCGTTTGAAGTCAGTCTCTCCCCCACCCCCTTCAGCCTGTAAAAAATAACATAAATGTGTGAACGAAAATGTGGTTCAATGGAAAGTAACATCACAAGGTGTCTGATCACCAATTACTAAATGGGCAGGTCATGAACAGTAGTCATGTCCCAGGCATATCACTTCTTTTAGTAAGAGGTTTATCTTTCCCTTAAGCAAGTCCTGTCTACTGTTCTTGAGCATCTAGGTTAAGAGTCCTTTAAAATGCCAGAGTAATCCTCTTTTTGTAGATTCCTCAAAGGCATAACCACCTTCAAGGAAGCACTTAATCTTATTAACTATCTCATAACCCAATCTCCACCTAGCTTTCCTCCCACCTTTATTTATTTTTATATTCCCTCCTTAACCCCAAATACATAAAAGAAATGGCAAACTGTCATTCTAGGAAGCATTTTTTTTCCAGTCTGTTGAGATCTTACTTTCAGGTGTACCCTGTGTTTTGGCTCAAATAAACTCTAATAGACTCAATAAAGTTTTCTACAGGTTTGGATATTCTTACACTGACAAACACAGCCACTTCAAAGTGGAGTCAGAGCTGCCATCCCAGAGACTCTGCCTTTCATGTTTTACTCCTCAAACCTTTAGAATGTTTAAACTGGACAAACTAACCTTTGGACTGGGCCAAACCAACATTGTATTCCAAACAACTGTTTGCAAAGCTAACAGAAGCAGACATTCTGACCACGAGGACTAATTATTAGTGACTCTGTCAATGTAAGAAATGTCCACACCTGTAGGGAATTTTTATAAGCATTTATTTGAGTCAAACTGATGACATATATAAGGGAGCAAGATCTCAAATACTTCAAAGAATAACAGTTTTGCAGCTTATTTTATGCATTAAAATTAAGAAGCAAACGTAAGATTACATGGAGGTGGGAGAAACCAAGGTGAAGACTGGAATACAGGATAGCTAACAAGATCGAGTGGTCTCTTGAGGGTGGTTACAGCTTATTTCCAAAGTGTATAAACCTAGACATACACAGAAACAATAGACAGGGCTTATTTAAGGCAAAGATAAACTTTTTACTAAAAAAATTAGATGCCTGGGGGGAAACGACTACCAACCATGACCTGCCCGTTAGAAATTTATGATCAGATCACCCTGTGAGGTTACTACTTTCCATAAGAACACCTTTTTTATTGTCCAAAACTCCCTTTCTGAAGATAGAATCAGTAACTATGCATAGTGTAGGGGAAGAATAAACTTTACCCTCCTAGGTTCTTTCCACTGGTCTAATCATTAAAACAACATGAGTCAGATTAACAAGAGAAAATAAACAAATTTAGTAAATATGTACACATGGGTGCCACACATACATGAAAGGGTCAGAGAACCCACACATGTGAGAGGTTCAGGGAAAGTTATGTCAATGAAAGAACATCCAAACCTGTAGAGAATTTTTAGAAGACTTTATTTGAGTCAAACTGATGACATGCTGGGAAGCAAAATCTCACATGCTCCAGAGAATGACAGTTTTGCAGTTCTTTTTATAAATTTTGAATTAAGGAGGAAACTTAAGGAAGATTACATGAAAGTGGGACAGAATAATTAACAAAATTACGTGCTGCTTTGAGGGTGGTTACACCTCTGAGGGGTCTGGAAAAGAAGATTACTTCTGACATTTCAAAGGTGTTAGCCTAGATGCATAAGAACAATGAACAGAGGCTGCTTAAGGCAAAGATAAGCCTTTTATAGAACTGAAGCACCCACTATGACCTGCCTAGTTAGAAATTTATGATCAGGTCACCCTGTGAGGTTACTTTCTGTCACTGAACTTGTCAGATTTATTACAGAGCACTTTCTTTGTTCACAGTTAAAATGAGGTATATGAGGCAATTCTGAGGTAAAGATGAGGTAAGGTAGCTTGGGGCTTCAAAAGGTCATTGCAGGATGATAGTAAGACAAGTTCAGTAATTAGTAGTTTGCCCTGCCAAATAGATTGGTTACAAAAACAGAATTTTAAGAGCCTTATAAATATTATAAGCATG